TCAATACACGAATATCAGTAGCACTTCTATAGACCAATAAAAAGCTAGTTGAAAGAAACAAACAAGGAACCAATAATACCATTTACAATAGGTACAAAGCAACCTAGGAGGAAATTTAATCAAGGAAGTGAATGATCTCTACAATGGAAACTATAAACCACAGATGAAAGAAAGAAGAACACAAAAATAAAAAGACATCCCATCTTCATGGATTAGAAGAATTTTGTTAAAATGTGGACACTACCAAAAGAAAATTACAAATACAGTGAAATCAGGAAACAAATCACATTCTTCATAGAATTTTTTTAAACTTCCTAAAATTTTTGAGCAATCATATGAGCCTACAAGTAAACAAATTAGTCCCGAGCAAACATAACAGCTTGAAGTATCATACTACTTAATCTTAAATTGTACTACAAAGCTATACTAGCCAAAGCAGCATAATACTTTATAAAAAACACACAGACCAATGGAAAAGACTAAAGAATCCAAAAATAAATCTATATATTTATATAACTGACTTTTTTTGGACAAAGGAATCAAGAACATGCACTGGAGAAAGAATATGTACTGTAAAGGGGACTGGAAAAATTGAGAAGAATGATGTGAAACTTCTATCTTTCGCCTTATATAAAAGCACCTCAAAATTGACCAAGACTTTAAATAGAGGGCCCAAAACTATGACACTAATAGAAAAATAAGGGAAATGCTTCAAGATGTTGGTCTGAACAGACTTTTTAATGTGACTTCAAAAATTATAGATTATTAAAGCAAAAATCAACATTTTTTGCTACTATTGCAAACTAAAACACTTCCACATTAAAAAAACAATAGTGAAGATACAATCTACCCAATGGAAGAGAATAGTTGCAACCTATTCCTCCAATAAAGAATTAACATCTAGAATATATAAGAAAATCAAACAAGCAACTGTAATAAAAATCTGATTTAAAAATGGGCAAATGATTGAACTAGACGTTTTTCAAAAGAAGGCACACAAAAATAGCCAAAAAAAAAAATGAACAAAACACGATCACCATTAATCATCAGGGAAATGCAAATTAAAACTACAATTAGAGATCATTTCACCCCAGTTAGAATAGCAATTATCGAAAAGACAAAATAACAAATGCTGGCAAAGATTCAGAGAAAGGGGAATTCTCCTAAACTGTTGAGGAAATATAAATTAGCACAGCCATTATGGAAAAGAGAGTGGAAATTAATTCCTCAAAAATTTACTAATAGAATTATCCCATGAGCTAACAATTATACCACTGGTGATATAGAAAAAAAAAATAACTAGAACAAGCAAATAGTCACTCATGTCAACTGCGTTCAAGAAGAAAGGTGAGAACTCTATTGGACACATAAATTTGGTAAATTTCTTTAAAATCTAGCCTCAAAATTGCTGACATGCCTCATATTTTAATGATGGTAAGCTAGTAAGTACCAAATGCAGGAAAATATTAGAGGAGGCAAAAAAGGTTGTGGCAGAAACTACACAAGAAATACAAATGAGTCCAATGGTAGAGGGAATTTAAAAACAACTTCTTAAGGAGTAGGAACATTCTCTGCCCTAACAAGGAGAACCAGTGACCAACAACTCAGTAAGAGCAGTTAACCCAGCCCTACCACTTCCACACACATAAGACAAGGCAGAGGATGTTTCCATATTCCTGAGGAGCCTCGGGAAAACAAAGGTCATACACATGTCATAAAGACGAACTGGAACACTTACACCCTTCTGGAGTCCTCAGAGTGACAAAGTCATTGGTGTTGTGTGCCTTGCTCAGGCACTGAACCTGTACTTTAACCTGGTATGTGGTGTCTGGTTTCAAGACTTTTAAAACAGTGTTTGTTTTATTGCTGTGAGTCTCCAGAGTCTTCCATATGCTCTCTCCAACCACTCTGACCAAAAGAACAAAGATATTGTCACAGCAAAGCAGCAGAGGGTGGCTGAGATATGTGACTTTCGCTAATAAAGAGGCTCTTTATAAACATTACAGTTTATGAAGCATTCGGTGAGCATGAAGACCAAGGCAAAGATGGGGCCTACCTGTAGTAGACGTTATACACACAAGAAGTAGAGGGCATCTTTTTTGGCCGCATCCAGGTCAAAGTTACATCCCCAGAGAAGTCAGCCGTCCACTGAAGATTTTGTACTTTATATACAGTTAACTCATCTAAAGAAAAAGAGGGGGAAGAGTCACAGACACTTACGAATTATACATCTATGGATTTGAAAAGACCTAGGCTTTTAGGTAGAGCTACTATGATCTAAATTGTCAGGGAATCACAACCTCTATCTGAAAAGACACCCTAGAAAATGTAGCTGAAACCTCCTCCTATAACTGTGTGGTCATGCTGCTTTTCCTGGCATTTCACCTCCTTCCTATATTTTGAGCCTGATTCTCCATAGAGATGGCTATAGTTCCAAGAACCATGTCACAGCAGGTTCTGTGATCTCCAAACGCATTCAGAGAACAGGACTGAATTGCTGAGAGCTGGCTCTCTGAACAACGGTACATCAGCAAGAGGTCCCCAGAACACAAATTTAATACCAAATTTCATCAACAGGGAGGAGGTGGTAGGAAGCCACCAGAAGCCTCCCATCACTTGGTGCTCCAGAGTTGGGCATGAATCTCTTTCACTTTCAGGGGGAGCAAAAGTTCCGCAAGGTCCTAGCTGCGCATCCCCACAGCACAGGAGCCCCCCCAGCTCAGGCCAGCCTGTGGGGGCAGGACTCACCGCTGCAGGCCTTCTCGTCGCTCTCATCCGTGCAGTCCAGGAAGCCGTCGCAGCGCTCCGAGAGCACAATGCAGGCCTCCCCGTCCTCACACTTGAACTCCCTGCTCATACAGGTCAAGGTGCTGTGTGTGGCTGGAACACAAGGAACCTCCTTAAGCCCACAGAGGAAGTGCCATGCGCCACAAGGGTCTGGGTTTACTCATGAGACCGTCTGGGAAGGACAGTTTGAAACCTTTCTGAGTTCACTGGCTTCTGCTTTCAAATACATCTCTGAAATGAGCAGAATGTCCTCTTGCACTGAGGTACCATCTTAATTAACAGAAAGAACTGGGATCTTGTTCCACCGAAGGATCCAAGTTATGGAGTCAAAAAAAAAAAAAAAAAAAACAGGGCCATAAGCTTTCATTCTATGTGAGCCTGAGGAAGCTGCTTAACATCACAAACAAACAAACAGAAACTTTAAAAGTGGAGAAAAAAGCACAAGTTTCAGAATCTGGAAGTCAGGCATCATTAGTCTCTGAAAAGTCTTCAGCTGATCATTAAAGAGTTGACGGATCACTACTTAGCACAGGTATAGTAACCACCAGTTTCTCTGCGAAGAATCCTGTCTCACTAGCCACATTTTGGTTTTGACAAGGTGATCAGGTTAATGGATTGAAGAAAATATTACAGCGTGGCATGTCTTGATTTTAAGTCCCTGAACTGAACAGCATTACTGTGAACAAGACAGATTTAAAACTGGCTGAAGACACTGGCTTAAGCATTCAATTAATGGGTTATTATCACCCAGGAGGGCAATCCCATTTCTTTTCCTCTTGATTAGTTCTTTTTCATGTTCACCATAATGTGTAGCTACCGGGCTCAAATATTCCTATTGTCATTTTGGTGAGCGCAGGCCCATTTGTCATGTTGTTTTACTGTCCTGGGGTCAACTTTTTTATTCTATTCAGGTAAGCATAGAATTTTACAGTAATTCTTATTTAAATTTTCAATGTTATATACTGTAAACCTTTCCATCATAAGAACTTCCAACATAAACAAAAACATGATGGAAAGATCACACATTTTTACCTAAGTAAACATCTCAGTCTATTACTAATTAGATGGTCCTCTTCAAATCTTGGTTTTTCCATCTCTAGGATGGAACAATATCAAATCACAAGGTTGGAAATTAAGTGGAATAAGTACATGATTGATGTGAGAATAATGAACGATGTATTAAACCCCACTGTCAAATGTGAATTTCCATCCTTAAATCCTAATTATTTCACAAAAAATTATTTATCATGTTGACTTTTATTGCTTACATGTGGCAAGGCTGCCTGCCAAATTTTTATCCAGGTCATCAATGACATTTTGAACAGAATGGAGATACTTGAAGAGTAACAGAAAAAAAAAATACTAACACACAGGCAGTATAGCCCAAGGCTTTTGGTTCCTGCATTCTAGATAACTAGAAACAAGTGTACCATATACAGTTCATCCCCACAATGTGCCTGCACCTACTCAGTTTCTGATTCCTGAGGATGTTATTCAATAGGATAGTTTACCACTTTCCTAATGTAAACAACTAGCAAACAAAACAAATCAACCCAGCTTAGAAAATGAAGAAGTGGTAAGAGTTAAAGGGTATTTCTTACAAAAAGAACCCCAAGTAGCAACTTATCAAACTCCTGGACTTTTGGACAAAGAAAGGATCCTACAGACAAATGAAAGAAAAGCAGAAATGACTTCTATGGTGAAGAAAACCACAATTGATGAGGGTCATATAATCCATATAGAAAAAGCACATGTGTGGGGGAAAAAAGATATATTTGGTAATAAATACATGTCCTATGTCAGGTTCAGAACTTGGCTAAGACAATATTTCTGTCTTTAGACAGGAGCCTAGCAAGACCCCCAGGACATAATGAAGTCTGTCTCTACAGGATGAAAACTAGAGAGGCAGTTAATGGGGGACCATGGAAGTGTGAAGCCTGGCAAAGACTCACGTGGAGAAGACACCTGCCAATGATGGGGTCACTCGAGCAGGATGCAAACAACTCCCACAAGGACAGACCTAGCCTCTTCCCACTAGGAAGCCTCATCCTAGCTCTGCCTCCCCCATCAGTCAAAGCTCATTATGGTCCTGGCCCCACACAGGGAAGCCAGGCACCCCCACCATAGCTTGCAGCTATGGTATTCCAGTCACTGGAGGAGGGGACCTCCCTCTTTCTTCTTTGTGACTGTTCCGGCCCCTGATAGACCAAGATACACTCCTCTTGCTTCACTTCCACTCTCCTGTCACATTAGCCCCCTCACTGGCCTTGGGTTCCAATCTCACTCCACTCCTTCTTCTAACCCAATTCCAATCATAACAGAGGCCAAGTGATCTAAAATGTAAGGACATCTCTATTCCTGCTAAAATCTGCGATGGCTCCTTATGACTCAAAGGATAAGGTACTACGACGGATGTCCCACCCAAGTGCCCTGCCTGTCTCTCCACACTCAACCTTTGCCCTGTCCATGGCCCTCCTCCTCAGACCTGCTTTCTCATGCTGCTGAGCCTCTGGGTGTTCATGCTGTCCCTAGAATGCCTGTCCTCTCCCACCTGTCTCACTGTTCTCCAATAATACTCTTTCAGATCTGAGAAAATTGGTATGCATCTGTAGTCCCTGCAACTTGGCCAAGGCTGGAAGCTCACTGGGGTTCAAGAGTTAGAAAAATATTTCTTAAACAAGCAAAAAGAAACACCCAGGAGTCCTCAGCTCAATGCATTCCCTGACCAGCTCCCCACTTCTCCAGGCAGCTGATGAGGTCCACCACTGATGAGGTCCCTGCTGAACTATAGCAGTTCCGTGAAGATACTTCCTTTACTACACACCTTATACTGGATACAACTTATATCCACTTATACTGGATACAGGATACAACTAGGGGCTCCTGTTTCTCCCACTAGACTTTGTGTCCTCAGTAGCCTGATCAGTGCCTGCCACATCCTGGGTGATCAACAGCTATCTGTCCAACCAAACTCGAGATGTTACCAAACACATACCAAATATCTAGGAGAGCACAGAATTCACCATACTCGTCTAGTGCTAAGAACCATACACAGATGTATTCCTGAACGTCCTCCTGACAACTGCTCCTGATTCAGTGACCAAACTTATGTTTTTCATAAGCACTTCTCATGTGATCCTGCTATTATGTAAATTTTATAACTACTCAGAAGAATTAAGAAATAACATTCTAGGTTTTTAATCCTAATCTACCTTGAGATGGTAACATTTGCTGGAGTTCCATTTGGGACTTCAATTTTCATTTATGAATTGTAAAGGAAAGAAATGGGGCCAGAACGGAGAACGAAGAAGAGGAATGGAGACACTTGCTGCTTGGGCTAGGGCCAGGAGGGGCTCTCAGCTGAGAGGAGGGTAGGTCTTTGCTACTCTATGTTCATTAGAGGAAAATTAGGCATAGAAAAATGCTCTTCCTGGTAGTAAAGGACATGTGATTGGCTGGGATATCTTCTGCCTAGAGTAGGTGACTAGAAGGAAAGGAGGTCACCAAAAGGAAAGAGCTCCAAACTACAGCAGGGTCCGTCATCAAAGAGGCATGTGGATGACAGGCAGATGGACACGCTTTGACCACACAGTCCCCAAATCTTTACAGTTCTACCCATCAGACCAGAGATAGACTTCGAGTCCAGCCAGGGACCAAAAGGCTCTGTCTTTTGGATGAGGAGGAAATAGTGACCTCATCTCCACATCCTGACCTCCAGGTGGTCCACTTCCACCTCCGTCTCCCACAAGGCATCCTGAGATGTAGGCCTCCTTGTTGAGCTCACACTGTGGGCCTCAGACAGCTCACAGAGCCATATCTATGACCTACTCCACAGGTCCTCCCTGGGTACAATGGACAAGCAGGGGCAAGACCTATTATGTTTGACCACTGTCTCATCTCAGAACCCACAGACAGTGAACACATCACTTCACACTGGGTTCAGGCTCACCAACTGGAATTACCCTAGGGGCTAAGGCTGAACTGCATAACAGGGTGCTGGAGGTCATCCTACCCCAACTATGGCCTCTCACTAAATACATTAAGAAGAATGAATGAACAAAGGAAAGATATTGGCTTCACCAACAGGTATCTCAGTCAGTTGAAATATATAACAAAATCCCTATTTATTTCTGATTCATTCAGAAAATGTTTTAATGGATATGTTCCTGGTATTTAAAGTAAACCAGTGAACTTATTTTTAAAAATGTGGCTATTATATAATATGATGTGGATTTGTGAGGTAAGGTCCCTATGAAGAATACTATAAAAGGATAGTCATACAGAAGTGCCTGGACACTGACTCTGTCTGTCTGTCTCTTTCCCTCTGTGTCTCTCTGTCTGTTTGTCTTTCTCTTTCCCTCTGTCTCTCCGTCTGTCTGTCTGTCTGTCTGTCTGTCTGTCTGTCTCTCTCTCTCTCTCTCTCTCTCTCTCTCTCTCTC